GATCACCATTGCCCAGTTAATTTCCTGCTACTGCCGCTGCTATTTTGCTGCTGCTGCTTTCTAGTTTCTGGGAACATGCATGGCTTTCTAGTTTCCAACTAGCAGCAGCTACTAATGCTTTGTCGATCTTCGGGGAGAGGAGTACCGGTCTGATTCTTTGATGATGGATCAAATTAGCTAAAGCCGAGCCACGTAAACCTCCCGGATCTGCTTTGCCTCACCGACCTATATATGAAAAAAATCTTTTACTACTTCCGTCAATCAATTACTAAAACAAGACAAAACTTGGATCCTGTCGAAATTAATCATTTGGTCGGCAACGTGACGGTGTTCATTATAGTAGTGTGATCGTTTTAGTCGGCAACGTGGCGTTGTTCATTATCTTTTTTTTTTTTTTTAAATGGGGAATGAGATTTAGGATTTGTTAGGCTCGTATGAGTAAAGAATTATGTTTGCGCTAGTTCGAGAGAGACGAAGAAAGAGTATTTAATATGTAAATAAGGATTTAATATCTAATAATTTAAGTTTTTGAATCATAGTTAGATTTTTCAACTTATATATTGGATTGTTTAATAAGTTTTCGCGAGATGTTTCTTCCTAACAATACTGTCCCAAACTCTCAACCCAAACAACAGTGTTTAGGTCCATCATATTCTCATTGTTGTCAGGGTGTGAATAAATATAATAATTAAACACTCTAGTATTTAAACTTGTTTGATTATGTTAGTGACTTTGAAATTTCTTTCAAACTTAGTTTGTTTATTTGCCGAACCAAAATTTTTTTATTGAATTTAAAAATTATCGAACACAAAACGCTGTTAAGTTTGATTTTATTAGTTAACGAACCACCAATCTCAAACTTTTACCTTACCAAAATGAGTTTGATTCGAGTATTGAATAATTTGATTTATCTTTCAATTCTAATTGTTGTCTTGGGGTAGAATATCATCATGTCTAGCCAAATTTCTGGTTGTTTTAACTTTCTTTATTATTCATGATTAAGATTAAAAAAATTTTAGAAAGCCCTTTTCCTCTAAAAATTTGGAAAGCTATTATTCATGATTGAGATTAACTTTCTTTTATAGGAGCAACTGCATTCATGATTCCCAATTATAAGGCCAAAACATTCTAATTTTTTTGTTTAACTCTCTCACCCTTCCTCATATCCTTCTTGCCACCAACTGTTGGGTGGCCAAAACACTCCAATTGAAGTAGCAAAACTTATAATATGGTGATTAAACTTCAATTTCCCTATTCCTAAAGTTGACAATTGTTCTATATCTAGGCACCACATAATTAGGTTAATCTGCAAATGGCAGGATATAAAATCCAAGTTAACGTGAAATTTAAACAATTCAAGAATACATAAAAATAAGAAAACATGGAACGTCGAAGTACAAAGGGATCCGACCAATTGTCTTGAATTGTTGCCCGAATTGATTTTTGAATAGTAAACTAGTGACCAAAACCAGTTGGGTGTCTGGCCCAAGATTAAAAGGCCAATGGTGGGAGCGTCGGACTTGCTTTTCAATCTCTTCCATGCTAAAAGCAAACCACAAACTCAAATCACTGAGTGCAGCCTAGAACAATCATCAATATGAACCGAAAATGGTGTATATTGAGAAAGTAAAGGCCAATAATTTCGATTGGTAATCTTTTGGGATGCAACATATATTTTACTTTTGATGCCTTTGTTTCTGCAAGTACATAGCCATTATCTCATCGCATTGTCTTGTCTGTCTTCTAACTCTCATTATTTAGTACTAAAATCCTCATTGAGCTCGGGTTGCCTTTTATCTTTTACCATCACATGCATTGCCTGTCTGGGTGCATAAATGACAATGGGTGGTTGTACCTTGGCTTGATTATGACCGCCCTTGAAAGAATGAAAACACTTCCCATAATTTGGAAGCAGATATTCCATCAGTCCTGAAGTTTCGTTCAAAATCTGACTCCAGAAACCGTAGCACCCTTTTACCTCACATCTCTTCCCCAACTTGTAATCTAGCCATCCCAAAAAAAGTTGTCAGTCTAACGAATCAAAGGTCAAAATCACAGTAGTTGTCATAGTCTTTCCTCATCCTCGGAAGTGTCCCACTGAAAAGAGTGAGTGGAAAAACCTTTAACAACTTGTAGAAAAGAAATTCCTCTTGAAGCTTAGAGATCTAACTCAAGTTGACCCTTAAAAGCTTATGGCCTTCGATAAGATTACAGAAATATCTCTGCGGGACAGGGAGCTTTAATTGTTGCAGCAAATCAATGGAGGAGCCCTCTTTCCGAAATCTTGCGGCCGGCCATCATCAATCATCATAAACAGGGTGGTTTTCTGGCCAAGTTTCGACAAGGGCCAGAATCAACACGATGTGAATATCAAACAAACACTGCGTGAGGTTGTTTTGCTCGCCTTAATTAGCATTAACTTCCAGGATAACTCATGGGGACGTATCAAAGATATCGACTAAAAGTTTCTGATAACATATTGATAAGGAGACTGACTACATACCAAGTAGACGTCCTTTTTATTCCCTTTTGTAATTGAATATTACTACTTCCATCACCATCCTGTGCAACTGCAACTACTGAAGCATTAACTTTGCGCCGTATAAAGTTCCATCAGGATAAGGTTTCTGGCCTACCATGATCAGCATCTTCTTCAATTCCTCCCAGTCCCAGCTTTATTCACTTATCCCGATTGGAATTTGCAGCAGTTGTTTGAGCTTTAATAAAGATCAATTTACGTCATCCCACTACAGCAATACTGACGTTAAAGACATTCTTTCTCTGAAAAGCTGGTGAAGAATCCTCTTGGTTCTCAAAGTCCTATGCCAGACTGGAATGTTTTCTTTTACAAAGCAAAAAGGTCGGATTACACGGTTTACGATAAAAAAAAGACCGCAAATCTGACAGCTTTAATACTGTTGATAACTTGGTTTCAGATTTCAACTCTTTAGGTTTTTAAATCATATGATGTATGGAATAAGACGGAAGAAATGTCATTGGTGCATGCAGAGGGAAAAAATTGTAAAGGAAGTCAGAAATAAGAAAGCTTAATGGAGGAACCCGAGCATGGAGGGAACATGATAAGATGATCTAAAGTGGAATTTATTATTGTTACCTTATCAGGATATTGTCGTTGGATTATTTCCACTTTCAATCTTTCACACTCTATCTAGCTGTGGATGGAAATAGGAATTTGAATCTTTATATGTAAGTAATCTATTTCTCCTATTTTTAGTCTGCATATCTTGCTCGGAAAGCAATTTCATTGCAAGCCAATGCATGGATTGACCTCTATCTATTGCTGGATGAGTCGATGTATTGGATGGACATAATTCATGGTCCATGTCCATTCATTCCTTCAGCTTTTCCCTTTTTCTGGGAACAGAAGAAAACCAAATTAGAAAATCCAAATAAAATAATGCCCGCCATTGCTTTGCTTCGCAAAAAAAATAGCAATGATACGAGACCTAAAATAAGGGAGCAAGAGGAAAGTTGTACCATACTGCTGAGGTTTATGTGAAAGAAAACCTTCCACCATTAAACTATCTGAAAACTTGAAACTCGTCATTCGTCAATTTGGCCCCTTTGGGGTTGTGGTGCGTTTACAAGAAAAGTACTTTTTAAGTTCCTCCCACCGGTGACCGAAAGGTCCCAAGTTCGAGTCTCTGATCTGCTGGATTCCTCCGCGCACATATCGTGCTTGGGCTGGGCTGGGGCGCCTGGCCGGGCCACAGGGGATTAGTCGGGCCCCGTAAGGATTGACCCGGACACCCATGTATAGACAAAAAAAAAAAAAAAATACTTCTAAAATGTTTGATAACTGATTTAAAAACACTTTTATTAAAATCACTCATGTTAAAAGTGCAACGGATCTTTTGTCCCACATCCTGTGCCACTCTCTGTCCCACTTTTTATTATATTACTATTTCTCCTACATAAATATCATGTTTTAGTTCTTTTTTTGTTTCCTTAAAATTCAATAACTATTAATTGAGTAAAAAATAAATACAGCAGTTTCAAAAAAGTAATATATAATAGAAAATTAAAAAATACAGCAGAAAATTCATAAAAAATCTCATTTTTTATGCATTTTGATTTTTTTGAGTATGTTACATTTTGTGTATAACTCAATTAATAGTTATTGGATCTTAAGAAAACAAAAAAGAACTAAAACATGATATTTATGTAGGAGAAATAGCAATATAATAAAAAGTGGGACAGAGAATTAATGGCACAGGATGTGGGACAGAAGATCCATTGCGTGTTAAAAGTGTTTATTATAAACCGTCGTAACCTTAAATGGGGCCTGATGATATTTTTCTTTTGTTTTCCCCCATCCCCGGATCAAAACAAACAGGTTACTTCATACGAAGCAAATCAATTAGCTTAAAGTTTTGACACTCTCTCTAAAAATATTAGTTTACCTACATAAGCGTTTTAACTTTCATTAGATTTGGCCTATTTTTTCTGGCTAGCGTCGCAATTTAGGTTTTTCATGTTGGTCTTGTAGGAATGAGTACCTTGGAGTGTAATCTTCATACTAGTATTATTATTATTTATTTTGAAAAAATTGATGATTGTGTTCAACCAACAATATGTATTATTATTCTGAAAAATTGGTGATTGTGTTCAACTTACAAGATTTATTACTATTATTTTGCAAAATTGATGATTTTGTTCAACTAGCAAGAGTTAGATACAAGGTATACCTGAAGTCCCACTCTATATCACAATTTATTTTGATGAATCAACAAACCATAAATTGATTTTTGTTTTTTGTTTTACTGTAAAAATTCCTATTAGATGTTGGATTCGTTGGACACGTTACTTTTTCCCCAGGTTCAAGCGTGGGCTGGACTCTCGTATTCTTAATTGGGCTCGAATATTGTGGGCTTGCAATTTCCGAGTCCACGAGGGCTATCTAAAGAGTCCAGTCAACGCGTCTGACCCGGGTTTGATACAATCGGTTAAGTGCTCATCTGAACCGGACGGCTAGACAGACAGAAACCGGTAGCATACGAGTAGTGTTGAAAAACTGGAGCCGGATTTCACCCGCCGGCCGTCGTGACAGAAATTCAGTAAAACCCTCTCAGTTCTCTCTCTCTCTCATTCTCAACCCACCCTCTCTCTCTCTCTCTCTCGATTCATTAAACTGTTGAAAGTCAGGTGGAGTTTTCCTCTCAATTTTGTCAAAAGTTTATTTAGGTTAGCAGGAAGGAATGGAGGAAGATGGGTCGAATTCAATTCGAAGGATGTCTACTCGGTCCCGCAAGATTGCTCCCAAAATGGCGGCTGCACTTGCCAGCTCCGATAATCGAACTCAGGTCCACAGTATTCAAAACTTATTGTATATTCAGCTTTTTATTTTTTTTTGTTGGGGGATGGGGTGTGTGTGTTGGGAGTGTTCACAGGACGCAATTAACTGATTAAGTTTAGAGCTGGAGCAGTGGCTGTGATTAAATTAAACTGCTTTGACTTTGGGGTGGGACGCAGGCGATACTAGCTCGGCTGGATGCTTTGGAAAATGACAATGCTGCAACGGAGGCAGTACAGCAAATTGATGATGATGATGAAGTTTCTCTTGATGACGATGATGACCAAGGTTGTCTGTTTCATTCACATTCTCTTGCTCTAATTCAAGTAGCTAGCTTTTTAGCAACCTTTTTCGGTACATTCGTATGTGATCATCTAATCCGTTCTTTGTATACAATAATCTACCATGATTCTCTCACTGCGACAAGGAAAGAGCAATTAATTCCGTTCCCAATTGATTTCGTTCTATTACATGTATCTTTAGCTCATCAGGAAACCTAATTTTTACCTTATTTTTCTTTGACTGAGTAACCCCCCGTGTCATGCTTCCAGTTTCTACCCAAACAGACTGTCTGGTTCTCATTGCTCTTTTGCCTGCATCTGGTTTTGGTTATCTAACCTTAGCTTTTCAAATTGTTTGCAGTTTATCAAAAGAAACAGTCTAAGAGTACGAAACGGAAAACTCGTCAGGCTAAAGCGTTAGAGAATGCTAAAAAGGCCTCGAGAACGTTTCTTGAGCTCTTGCACGAGGTATTCAGAACTAAACAATGCAACCCTTCATTACTAGTCTGCTGGCATGTCATCCTATTTGCTCAAGAATGTTGTGGCTAAAATTGCGGTATCACTGATGGCAAATTGGACTCATATGTCAACACATGCAGTTTTTGGGTTTCAAATATAAATACCTGTCTATTGCGGAGTTTGTTCTTTTGGCATAGTTTTCATGTCTGAAGATTGTCATATAGAATCTCTGAATCTCAATTAATTGTTATTTGAAGATTGTCATATAGAGTCTCTGAATCTCAATTAATTGCTATTTGGACTAGGCAAACCTGGAATCCTTGCCGCCTCACGTGCCCTCGTATTTGAGAGCTGCAGTTGGACCTCCAAGTTCCTCTTCAAGCCGTCATTTTTGCACTGTCTGTGGATTCACAGCGAATTATACATGTGTACAATGTGGGATGCGATTTTGTTCTATTCGATGCCAAACTATTCACAATGATACTCGTTGCTTGAAATTTGTCCAATGATTGGTGAGTTCCCCAGTCAATTTAGTTTGACACTGTTTTATTACAACTGTTTCTGTTATTTATTGCTGTGCCGTTCGATTTATTGTCGAGGTCAATGTTTCAAGAACAACTTTTGTGGAAAACGGCTTAGTGGTGATTTGGTTCATCTACTCAGTTGTATATCTTGACTATCTCATAGATGCTCAAGGTTGCACGAGAGCTGATTCTAGTATAAGCCTTAACCAAATATTTAATTAAGTGCATCGAGTTTGGATTATTTGATCTTACTGCTTTACAGCACCATAACTCACCTCGCTATTTGGTGGAGAAAAAGAAAAAAGAGACTTAAAATCCTTGAGGCGTTGCTGCATGAAGATGAAGTGCAAGGTGTGCAATGAAGAGAGCAGAATCCATTGTGCAAGTGATGAACTTGTTACTTGTACTCTATTTAGCAACGTATCCTGTACATTGGGGAAGAGAACTGATGATTGTATCGTTTTGTGGTAGTTATTTTATTTTTGGCAGGAAGAGGGAATTTTAAGCTTTATCTTCATCAAATTCGCTTTGTATTTGGACTTCTTTTCTCAATGGGCTAATGTTATTGGCTGTCCTTTTTTTTTTGTTTGGTTAATGGCACCCTTTTTTCTTCGCGTGCTTTTGCCAAAAATACAAAGGAGATGGAGTGCCATCAAAGGTGCTCTTTTCAATGCTTTTCAGCCACCCTCTTGAAAATGTTTTACTGAGGCATATCTTGGGTTCCTGTTAATTGATCTGCCTATAGTGGTATACATGAAATCTCTTTTCTTCAAGCCGCCAATGATTGCAGATTTTAAGTGCTTGTAATTGTTGCTGTCATCTGTTTATTCGTAATCTGCTCTGTTGTTGCTTGCGGGTTGCGCTCACAATCTGGTACTTTAGAATACCAGACTCACCTTCATGTGAGAAAATTAAGCCCAGGTCTTTTTTACCTTTCTTAATGATTAAGTCTGGTGATAAAATTCTAAATACCTTATAGCGACAATTAAGTTAAAAGATGGAGAAGAGCCAATGGATGTGTATTGAAGGGGACAAAAAATTTACCACCTATTTGACACAAAAGAAGTCTTGAATAAGAAGTATCCCAGAAAATCATGGAGATACGTAGATAAAGAACACAGCTAGACAAAACCAGTTGTAGAAGTTTTCCTCTGTTTTGTGTAATGGTCTTCTTTTCCATTATAAAGCTTAAAAAACCCTCTTTAATTAAAGAAATAATACAGCCCCAGCCCACGCAACCAGAGCCCACACTGTCTGGCATGAGAAGGCTCAGTTTTGGAACTGGAAAGTTGAGAGCCAGCAGAATGCAGAGTTTTTTGTGGAAATGGCAAGCGGAGAGGTTTCCAAGGTTCAGTGGTGAGATGGGATTCCTTCTTTTAGATCATCTGTCTATTTCTGACGTGTAGTGTTGAGGATTATGGCACGCAGACAAAATGTTGGAAGAAAGTCTCCCTCCAAGCCACCATCTCAATCTCTCAATTCTCCTAGTCCCAGCCAACCAACAAAAGAAGACCGGGAGAAATTGGGAATCTACTCAACCAACCGTCCCTCAGGTGACTAACTTCCTTTTTTTTAACTGCGACGATAGCATTCTTCTAATCTAATCTATCCTATTTTACAAGGAGAAGAAGGCTAAAGAGACCATGCAAGGGACTATCAGACCTAACTAGACCAAATGAATGCTCACTGCTTGCTAACTGTTCTCAAGTGACTAACTTCCTTTGCTAACTGCTAAAGCTAAAAAACCCAAGTGGAGAGTTCTATCTGGATATTCCCTTGTGTTTTGCCCTTGTTAAAGAAATGTGAGAACTGCATTGATGGATTCTCGTGGAGATTATGGATTCCTTGTGGAGAAGAGGCACGTAACCTTGTTGGAGTACAATGCTAGCCCACACATGACTTCGTTTCTGAAACTGGCAACAGAGAAAACAGGCGTTGATATTTGATTAACTTGGCTGTCCATTGTTGATACTATAACAACAAATGTAACCTTAGCTTTTGGTTGGAGATTGTGGGATGTTCTTTGTAATCATGTGAGAAATGATTCACAAAAGGCAAAAAGAAAATGGACACAGAATTGGAATCTCGTTTGCGTATAAGTATTATTATTATTATTTTTTTTTTAGGTCGAAGATTAAAATATTTAGTTTGCTTTTGTTGTCTTATTCTTTCTGTTTTAAGGCTAACAATGCGTAGTGAAAAGCGAATTTGGAGCTAATGAGCTAGATCAAAACTGGAACCTGATTAAGGGGTGATTTGCAGAATCATTTTGAGACGTAATAGATTGATTACTAGTATTTTAATTTTGTAATCTTTAGCGATTAGAAACGTCCGCAATATGAAACGTCAAATCCGCCGCTTTCATAAGGAATAAGACGAACCGGTTTGTCCTTACGGTTTTTGAAAAGCTAATTTTCCAAATCAAGTTTGACAATAATAATAATGTCTAATCAAGTTGCCTTACCATCACCAATAGGGTTTTAGTTTAATGATCAACGATAAGATTTCAGAAACTGAAATCTGAATTCAAACTTCACTAGGTTTGAATTCATTTAAGCTAGACGTTAGTCTTCATGCCACTACAAGTGGATTAATAGCTGATCAATTTTACAATCCAGGAAGATACGAGTGACGGAACGCAAGAGGAGCTTCAATTGCAATCAACAAGATGAGATATTATTAATTAAGAAGATTGTGAGAATGAGATGATCAGTCAATTAAGTTTCCAATGATACTTTTCTTCTCGCCTCAACCATTGTGACTCTAAGGAGGCAAATTCTAACAGTAAAGGCGTCTGAAAACTTGAAAAAGACACGGCTGCTGATGAAAGAGTCAAGGTTAAGTACCAAACAATGGATTTTAGCGTTGAAGTATGTATCACTGTGTGTAATCATATGCAGGCTGAATAAGCTTTTTGATCCTGCAGTGTAATCACGATTGGAGCCTTTTTATCTTGTCTTTCTCTTTTTATCTGTTTTGCAGAACGCCTGGTGGAGACTAAGACGAACAAGAATGATCAGAAACCTTAAAATAGTTGTATTACGATTGACCATCTTTACGGGAGCAAAATTCACCCCAACTTGCCTTTGATTAAGTTGTTCCCACTAACAACGGGTGAGATGGGGAGCTTTTTGATCTTCATAGTTGAATTCACAGATGCTCATGATTTGCTTCAAGAAATCAATCGCTTCTGGTTCGCTTAGTCGTTGCAGACGATCTTTAGATGCTTATCGAGTGAGAAAAAGAAAACCCAAATTGACACGCAATATCAAAAGGCCAGGGGATGACGAAAAATAATGGCTGGAGATCAATGCATGGGTGATGATCTAAAGAGTGCAGAAAATCGGACGAAAGTTCAAACTCTGTAAATAAATTACCTTTCTGATTTGTATGGTATGGTTTATTATGGTCATTAGTTAGCAGAATAAAAATGACAATTAATGGGAGAATAAACGCAAGCACAAACTGATAAAATCAAACCAACAAAAAGCCAACTTCGTCCCCTTAACCATGAGATCTGTGGTTCGAAATCCATGGAAATGAAAAAAATAACGTTGAGAGAGTTTTCCCCAAGAAAGGTCCGACGTGGTTCGAACAGAATTAGTCGTAGACCGTAAAATGAAAACGAATACTGGTGTATTATACCTTTAAAAAAAAAAAAAGACAACTTCGTATAAACGAATGAACGGATCACAAAGGAATTCACTAATCCAAGGAGTCAATTCAAGAAAAACGTATTACCACAATTAATCGTGTATGAGCCACGCTTTTCTGATGTGGCAAAAAGCACCCCGTCAAATTGGATGGTGCGTGTTTCTTGTTTCAAACTTATACAAACATGTTTCTTGTCAACACTCATTTTAAGTCACCAGAAAAGAAAAGCTGAGTGCAGGTTTGAATCCATCTTTGGAACAGAATGAATATATAATATATATTTTGCGGCGGCCAAAACCCAATTCCAAACCACCAGTATTAATTAGTAATTAAGATACGAAACGAAAACCAGATCAAATCATTAGGCCACTAAAGAATTAGAAGATAATTTGATTGGTTGCAAATTAGAGAAGAAATTGAAGTCCCCAAGATCACACTAGCACTGGCCTGCCTATCATAAACATTGCAATTTGCAAACCAACAAATTTAAACACCTACCACGTCCAAGCCTCTCATCTAATGCATACTAGTAAGCACTATTATAATAATTGTACATAGCAAATTTCAAACCAAATTGCATTAAATAATCAACTACGGCGGCATGAGGTCGTCGTCTTGGATTGGAGGGTCTCTTTCAATGTTTCTTCATTCAGGCGTGAAGAATGGTGACCAAACATGAATCAGTAGTATGTTCCCATTCCAGTCGGCCTTCTTCTTGCTTGCTTGCTTGTATCCATCTCCTTCCTCCTCCTAGCATCTTGTGGGAAAAGAATCCCCCGCACCATGCCACATTCACATCAATGCAACAATTCTACAATTTTCAATTTATCTCGGCCGGACTCAGGCCTAACATAATGCCCGAAATCAGAACACGGCAGCTGGCATCTGGAAAGCCTGGAATTAGTCAAGAACCCCACTTGATTTTTCTCCAAATTTTTTTGTCTCAAGTCGTACAAAAAATCTTGTGGGCCTCTTTATCCCACCTGGTCCATAATCGAATGAAAGGGCTCTTAATCAGTCAAAGGCTGCATCGATCTGAAATGGAATACTCTTTTATGTGTTTTTTTTTTAAAAATCCCCAGATATTGGAGGGACGGCTTAAAAGTGCCGAAGGGTAACCAGCAGCAGCAGCAAGAGAGTGATAGCAAAACTGGTTATGATCAGCCGCCATCGCCGACCCAAGATTAAAGAATCACTGCCGCTTGTGAACAATGAAACGCCGCCTGCCCCGGCAGTCTCAGATCCAGCTGACTTCTTGCTGCACCCGGAAATCACATGTTTAGTTATATTAACAATTCCTAGTTAAAGTATGCATGTAAAAATTTGATTAAGATTAGAGTCCTGCAACGTATATAGTTCATCTAGATTTTAAAGTACAAGGCTCTGAATTATTTCAATCGGACTAGAGGTACGACAAATATGTTTATTTTTTTTGTTTGTTTGTTTGGGCGGTAATTCACATTAGTATATATATAACGTGAGAGGCACATCTGAGTATCTGACGCACCACAGCCGACTTTAGGGAACAAAATCACAATTATCTATGACAATTGGCTGCCTCTATTTGCGTAAGATGAATAACTATATATGGACCTTGATGGCAACATCCCCTCGACTCTGAAAAAGAATACTAATCAAACAAATTCTTGGCCTTCTAATTTTTTTTTTTTGTCAACATATCTTTCACATTTCCATCATCAATTAGTACGGAAACTAACAATTATGGAGATTTTTTTGCCATAATCATGGTCGTAATTATGGAGGGCAACATAACCGTGCAATGTTACTCTTGTATTCTTACGATTAACAAACTAGAAAAATCAAAACCTTTGGGAAAAAAAATGTTTTAAGTGTCAAGTTATCAACTGATACGTGCATAAGAGATCAAGAAAATTAAATATCATTAATTAATTAATCGACAATAATTTTTATTAATAGGGAAAAGAAGTTGTGGTTTTGGAAAGCATTCAACATGTTCAGGATGCAAAATCTGCAGGGATAAGCTGCTTAATTATAAGAGACAACTTGCAAAGAAGCAAATCAGACAAAGATAAGAAACAGAAAAGAAGTGACTGAAATGATTAAAAAAAAAAAAAATGAACGAGCGTAGAATTCAGTACGAGTATGACAAACCTGGCAGCTGGAGTTGGGCAAAAACTGATGATGTAATCGGCGGAAGCACAAGTGAAAGTGCTGGTCCCGTCATCGTAGGCGTAGCTGTAAGCGCGCGGACACGCACTCTTGAAATACTCTGAATAAGAAGTTGGCTGGCAAGTCTGAGGATTCCCGTACGCGCCGCTGCAGCAGTACTGAGGATCTCCGAACGCCTCACATGCGCTTTTGCAGGCCACGCTGCCGCTGCTGCTCATCACCTTCAGCTCCGACGGACACCCGCCGTTGAGATCACTGACGCAGCCCGCGGTCGTACAGTTTCCTCCGGACCCACCTTGTGGGACCACCAGCATGGGCAGATTGTATCCGTCCACGAGGCTGACGTCATAGAAGTCGAGCCCACCAGCCCCATTCAGAGTAAACTCGGCCAGAGTAGCCGGCGGAGCTGCTCCTCCTGCGCATTCTAAAGTCCCGGACCCGCAATCCCCCGTGATGCAGGTAAACTTCCCCGTGGTGGGGTCTTGACTGCAAAGCGTCCGGCCCCATAAGCGGCCTGACCATCCTGCGGGGACGGAAACGGAAGTTGATTGTCCCGGGTTTAGCGGGAAACCGGTGGTGGAGAGTTGAGGAGTTCCCGCGCCGGATAATATCCCGGGCCAAACGGTGTAGCTGCACTGGTTCACTAACGTAAACGTCGCAGAAAACACACCTGCATGATCAAAAACAAGGAGATACATAATTGACATGCATGAGTACGAGAAAGAAAGAAAAAAGTGTGGTTGATCACAAGATTGTTAATGTAGTAAAAGAAAAGAAACAGTAGCTACCTGCAACGGAACAAAGGAAGCAAAATGCGAGGAGTGAAAAGGAGGGATGAAGTCTAGCCATAGCCATTTCTTCTCGGAGAGAGAGAGAGAGAGAGAGAGAGAGAGAGAAATGGCGGACCGAGAGATTTTAGCTGGGAAGTTGGGGAATGAGATACGAATGTGAGGGAGAATATACGTGGTACGGTTACGGGGGTGTATGCAGAGGAGGTCACGTGGGTAGGTGGGCGGCAACCGAGGTAGGAGGAGGAGAGACGTGAATACACCGCCAGAGTATAAGTATAAGTCGACGAAGATGTCTGCAGGGTGGAGAAGGAGGAGGGGCTTTGAGAGTAGGGAGAGGTAATGGTGGTTTTAATTATGGATCACGCATTTCAATACATATACGCGCAGAGGTTTGGTGTTTGGACGATGTCAATGTGGAGAGCCAGCGGGAGGGAGAGAGGCATAGATTGGAGGCAGGCTGGCGGAGTTAAATAGACGAATTTTGGAACTTGTAGCAGCAGTGGTGCAGTAACAATACTATGGTTACTCCTGCCCTACACTAAACAGAAACAGAAAGAGGTCAATTCAAGAGGATCAATGAAAATTCGAAGGAGCTAAATCATTATCGGATCAGATGCTTTATATTACGAGTAGTATCTTACTTTAGCCTGTTTTGATACGGTTAATTTTTAGTACTGTTTCCGGTGGGCTCCTGAAGAACTGAAGGGCTGGGAATAGAGCTCATTGGACAAGATGGACATGGGACTGGACGGTGGGCTTCTGCAGGGAAGGGGTGGGTGGGCTCCAATTGTTTTATTTATAGGGAAGATGATGATGATGCTGCCGTCGGGTTCAGCCCAATGACGTTTTGCCTGTCTGTGTGAGTCGCACTTAATTATGTTAGCTGACCCTACTGCCGTTACAGTGAAATTAGAGGATTTGGCGTAAAATTTTTTTTTTTTTTTATTGCCACTTTATATAATTTCCTTTTCGTCCTCATAAAAACTAATAATTCTACTTTAATGATCAGTCATCACCCCTTGCCTTGGCTGCTGTGAGATGCAGAGACATTGGATAAGAGTAGGTGCACTTGCATCGGAAGTATGTGGCTATAAAAATCCATTTTACCAACCGTCATGACGACGATTTTTAAGCAGGAAGGAACACGCTTTTTACCTCAGCCTGCACATGCATTTGTGGACAAAATGTCTTTTGATTGCTTCTACTGTGTGGAAAACGGTATACCCGTTTGTTTGCTTGTGTCTTTTTTGTGCGCATGAATATGAAAACTTGGACATGAAGTAAATGTTATCGCTTAACATGGTGTGATCACACCATGTCGGACTTGGGCTCAGGTTTTTATGTGAAGCGGCTACAAATCTCCAGCATACTTTGTGAAGTCAAAGAATCCACGACAGAAAACTATGAACACTTGCATCTCATGCGTTTTAATCCTCTTGTTTATTTTTGGGCAAACATCTTTTGGATAATGATGGCGCATTTGCTTCTTCAGGATTAGGTAAAGCTATAATGAATCAGGGAGAGGAGAGGATTGTGTTGGACGAAGAAGGATTGTAAATAAGAATACCTGCCTGCCTATCATGAACCGGCTTTATGTAAAGATTTCAGATAGTTAGCATAAAATTATGAATCAATGATAACATTCCAATTTCCGACATCAATAGTTCCATACTTAACCTCTTTTCCGCACTAAATTATATATTTCACTATTTTCTACTTCAAAGCCTACCTCTGAGGCAATTGATGCATTCATCCAGCGAGTGCGGAAATCTGTTTCCAACGAAATGAATGATTCTCTTCCGCCTACTTACAAATTCCATTGAGGGAACAAACGAAATTGTTTTGTGCTCCATTGACAAACTAAAGGATTAGTTATCTCCAGACAGAATGAATCCTTTCATCTAGCATTGATATCTATCTAGGACACAAACCGGACAAATAATCCATGAACATTCAGGACTGGTGCTCACCTGTTTGGAATGCTGACATGCAAAGACACGACTACGTCCCTATTCAAAGAATACAGGGATATGCTTCTTTACCAATGCAGTTAAAACATCTAATTCAGTTACGCTTCCTTATTAAATGAAAGCAAAGTGAAACGACATTCAAGATCCAATAACCAGTTTTACTGAATCATGGGTGACTGTATAGCTGGGTACCAAATGACCCAATGCCATAGTGTTCCGGATCAGAAAGAAAACAATACCACAAGAAACTCATTTTTGCCGATATAGGATCCTAGCCTAGAATTGCTTTCCAACCTCTAAAGTGATCAAGCGTACACAAACTGAATGGCACGGCACGGCCAATATGCATCACTTATCAACATTCATATCCAAGTGATAGAAGAACTATCACTTCGATATTTGGACCCTACCAACACAAGTCATTAAAAATTGAGACAAGACAAACTCATTTGGCTAGTTACAATCACAAAAATGCATTCAGCTCCTTTTTGTAGGCTAACAATTGTGCCCAACTTTATTTTGATTAATAAAAGATTGGAGATTTACAAAAAGAATTGAACGGGAGAAGAAAGCAAAGTTTCAAAAAACCAGCTCATTATGGAAGTGACCTAGAAGAACTAGACTATGACCAATCTCTTCTTCCGCTTTCTTTTGATCTTTTCTTTTTCTCCTGTACCACTACAAATGACATTTCATAAACTCATAGATTCAGGATTTGCTCCTTGCCTTAGGATTGTGAATCTCAGCTTCCCAAACCAAGTTAAAAAAACACACCCCGGAATATGTTGATTATGCCAAAAAATAAGAATAACAAATTTACCGATTTATTCCAACCAAATAAAGGTTTAAACTGAAATAATAATCTAGTCACCATAATCATCCATTGCACCAAGAGAAAAGCTCGAAATCCAAGTGCCAATAATCAAAGCATCTACACAGACACAGGATGATCCAATGCCAAACTTGGAAGTACCAGCTAATGCAAACTAATTAACTCCAATAAACATTAAGTAGAACATCATCAAAAGCACAACAATCAGGGAAGGAACCACCATCACAGCTCCTTACCAAAAGGACTTTTATGTTGCACCAGTAAATATCGCAGTACAATATCTGCCAAATAGATAATTTAAGACATTTTATAGATTAATGTGAAAAAAAATCCAAATCTGCCATTAGGCCCATATTCAAGACATTATCAAAACTGAACCACCATTATATACTTTTATACCAATCCCAGAGAAAATTCTCCTTCACAGAAACAACAGTGGATCGCCAAGCCAATCATAACAAAAGCTATTCCGCAAAATCACCATCATATGTATATAACCCACCAAAACATTAGCAAGCAAAAGGATGTCAAAAACTATTTAAAGAACGAAATTAATAACAGCAGAAAAGGATAACTCATAACTGCTACTATGATTGTTCCTCCTATTCAATTTCTTCATGCGGTGTTAGTGCATTCCCTTGCAAAGTGACCCGTCTCCCCGCAGTTGTAGCACTTGCTTCCACCAATAGTAAACCTCGAGTAACCGCCGCCACTGCTACCTCCACCGCCACTGGTACAGTCCCTTGCCATATGCCCCTGCTCCCCACACCTAAAGCACGAACCGCCACCACCACCACCACTACCAACTCCACCACGACCTCCACCACTGCGTGAACAATCCCTAGCCAAATGTCCATAATCGCCACATTTAAAACAGCCTCCCCCGCCGCCGCTGCCACCATTTCCAGCACTCCTATCACAATCCCTAGCCAAATGCCCAATCCTGCCGCAGGTATAACACTCTCCACCGCCGCCACCAGAGGAGGGCATCCTATCACAATCCCTAGCTAAATGCCCAGCCCTTCCACAATTATAACACTCCCCGCCGCCGCCGCCGCCGCCGCCGGCGGCTCCGCGAAACCCATAACCATTCCCATTCCTCCTGTTATACCCGCCGTCGGAAAACCCATAGCCACCGCGGCTTCCGCCGCCGCCGCGGCCACCACGGGAGTTATCAACAGGGGCTCCATTAGGGCCAGTGACATTAACGGCCTTGGTCTTATTGGCCTCTAATATGACCGAAAACTCGACAAGCTGACCCTCCCTAAGGGTACGATAGCCGTCAGATCTGATCTCAGATTGATGAACGAAGAGATGCTCGCTGCTATCGTCGGGCTTGATGAAGCCGAAACCCTTGTCATCCCGAAACTTCACCACCACCCCCCTCGACCTAGCATTCTCCTCCGCCATTGAATTGCCGAACCCCAAAACAAAGAAAAAAAAAAGAGCCCTAGATGTTGGGGGCGAAATCTATGTAGATATATAGAAATAGCTTTTAGATTGAGAGAAGAAGACAGATTTAGGAAGATACCGGCAGTAATTTATAGAGGGGACAACCCTAATAAGCTATTCGGCGCTTTAGAGTTTGCTTAAGCGAGGAGTATTACTAAATACCACTCCACTAGTGAATGGGCTCTCGTTACTTGTTACTTAGGGCTGCACTCTCGCCTTTTTCACATACTTACTTGGAAAAATTTTTATGGAAAGAAAGAAGGAAAAAACTTTTCCTTCCAGCGGATTTTATGGGTTTTTTTGGTCGAGTGGGTTTGGCATCTTAAAGTTAGTGTTCCCCCTTTTTTTTTTTTTTTTTTCCATTTTCTCTCGACAGAGGAATTTATTAAAAGGAAAAGACAATTTGATTCAAAACTCGGTTTCATTTTGTAATTTGACTCCAAATTTGTCTCAATTTGGAACTTTCGTGTAAATCTATAATTCTAGCAAATGATCAGCTAACCATTTGTTGTATCTGTTCAAAGTCCTTTTGTGCGCTTAGCAATGATTAAAAGGGCAACCAAAATTCTAAAGAGAAGTTGCCGTTTTGTAGAGAGTTGAGAGACATTCAGCAACGAGAAAGTTTCTAATTCACCCCTCAAAATTAGAAATTTCGTCGTGGCAGGAAATTAATTGCTTCAAAACCCCCCAAAATTAGTAGCTGGCTGTGACATTACCACTAAAAATTGGTAAAAGAAATTGACCGAAAACGAGTTGATGTTAAGGCTCATCTGTGAACAAATAAGTTTCCAAATTGGAGGGTTTATTTTGGACTAATTCGCTTTCAAGGACTGAATCAACACTTTGATCTACTTTGTAGGGCCTAATCCAAATTCATCTATACATACAAATTCAAACAATCTAGCTAATTAGCAAAATTAACTAATAAGTTCAAAAAAAAAATTCTAATCTTTTGGTACAGCTATCCCAACTAAAATTTGCAAACCCTACCCAAGATAAAAAGTAAAGCCGTGTGATCGACAAATGTTTCAACTTTTAAAGAAAGGAATTTTTCTATAATAGGAGAAACAATATATGAATTTGCAAATATATATATATATATATGACAATTAAACACAACAATTCTTCAAACAGTTTCATAGTTTTTTTTATTTACGAAGACATATTTAAGGTAGAAATTGGCTCTAAAATTAGAGCCACTTCGAAATTTTTGGATTTTTTTCAAGTAAAATTTAATATAAAACTATATTATTCTTTTAGTTAAAATATAAATCCGGCCTAAAATACTAATTCTGTGTTAATCTACAGTTACAACCACAAAAAAAAAAAAATTAATGAGC